CGATAATTTCTGATACATACAGACATCCTATAAAGAAATCGACAGTTCAGTCTGTACTCTGCAGATCAACTGAGTAACTTCCACAAAATTGTGCAGCCACTTTATTCATAAATCAAAGCTTTAGACACTGAACTAGATAGTCACAACGGCTAAAATTTAGTTATACCCAAACAACCAAGGGAGCGGAATAATATTGAGTGGATGACTACAAGCTAAGCGTATCAAAATTAGAATCCTATTTATACAATATACTACCAGAATGATTTGGTTTCAAAAAGGTCAGTACTTCAGAAGTGCATATACGATGTCTAAGCTATCTATGTAATGAATCACCTGAAGTTTAGTGGAACGTAAAAACTAGATCAATTTGGCCTGCCTTCTACAACAGCCGATTCTATGAAAACTTTTCAGGAGAGATTCGATTTTCATATAAAAAAGGGTTATTTCAGAAGCAGCTGACGTCGATATTAAAGCATACAAGTGTATAAATTTAGTAATGAGGCAGCTATAAAAATAATATCATCTGCAAACAGTAATCCTAGCTCTATCATACAGCAAATTTATTTGATAAAAGCATACAATGAGTAAGGCAGTATTATTCACTGATAATCTCTCTTGTGTAACACCAAATCTAGTGGGTTTAATCCAACACATGGTCTAGTCCAAACACCAGAGGGAGTATATAAGTCTGTCCAGTTACCTCTCAGATGCAGAATGTACTGTCGCAAATAAGGATGGGATTCAGACCTAGAAGGATTCAGTATCAACCCCTTAGATGGTACCTTCACACCATAGGCCTTTCGACCAGGCACATCAAACAAATGTCCGAAATTATCGTTCCTCTCGTACTAAACAGGCAGTACTTCACTGATTAATGTACTCACTAGTAGTATAAAAATATCCTGTCTCCACATGATCTGAACCCAGCCTTCATATGATTATGAGCAATAAATAATACTGCATCACTGCGTGCTTTTGTCAAGCAAATTTACTCTGTCATGGAATTATGCTCTACCCCACGGTGCCCAAGGTCTATTCTTATATCAGTATTATAAGTTTGCACGATATATTTGTTAGATACATCTTGTTACTGAAAACTGATTAAGAAAGGTGTAAAATGTATTGTATGAATAATCATTTTCGATTAAACAGTTGAAGACACATTTGATGAGGATCGGAGGCTCAATTTGACGTGAGCGGGTGATAGTTGCCTAAAGATTCAAACACGTCTGGTGAAGGCAATTCAGATTCATCATATTGACTCCAAATTGTGCTTATTTGTAAAAATTATCAGGTAACTTAATGAAATACGATATGAAGTTCATTTTTAAACTGATGGCAGAACATCCTTCGGAATTCGACATTGCGTTCAGTTAAACCACTCAAAAGAAGTGGAATGGAGTCAAATTAAAATTGAACTTAGAGATACTGCCTGATGAAATTACTTCAGCACTTTGTCGTCATGATGACAATCATTAAAACTTGACTATTTTTGCAATTATCGAAAAGAAACAAAGATTTATATCTAAGTTAACGGTTAGGACTTTTCTGTTTGGCAATATACTCTGATATCACATCGTGTGTATTTCATCGTTAGGCTTAGTGGATACGTCTGCATTTACGTCGTCATAAATTATGGTAACGTACCTGATTAGGAGACAAATAGTAGTTGTGTTGTGTTGTTTCTCCTGTTCATGACTTAGTGCTACTGTAACAACAGAAGACAAGGGCCAGGCAACAGATCGTTTATTACGAAAAATCAACACGTATTTATAGATTTTTATGTACATTATTGTAGGTCAATGTTAGTAGAAAATACAGTCTGTTGATTGGTTGTTTCTCACACAAAGGTAACCTTGCATCTCTTGTGGCTGTGTCAGTTCATCTATATGTTAACTGTAACCGCCTGTCCACCTTGACCTTTGACCTCAATTACTGTCAACCAATTTGGCCAGCAACCATCTCTCACCACAACATGACTAATATTTGATACATAAACATTGACCTCAATTACTGTCCACCACTTGGCTAGTAGACAGCCCTCACCACACTCGTCCCCCCGTCAAATAGTTTGGACTGAAGTCGGCTCGGTCTTCTCGGTTCTTGGGGCTTTGCTCTGTTGTCTTGCTGTCTGGAATCTCGGCGCTTGCGGATGTCCACTTGTTTAACGGTGTTTACCATCGCGACTGTGTCTGCGTAACCCCATCTCAACGTGACCATATATGGTCCTTCCCACTTGGAAACTGTTTGCCTGACCTGTCGCACATTCGTGTATCTACAATCATATCGTTCCCGACCTCTCAGCAGCGTCAAGTAGCAGCCTTATCGCTGACAGATCTATAACGCCACTCAACTGCGAATAAGCCTCAAAGTTCTGCCCGAAGATCCATATGTCTTCATCAAAAACTGCAGGGCATAGGCTTTCCATTTGTCGGTAGGCAGCGACACCAAATGTAACAACAGAAGACAAGGGCCAGGCAACAGATCGTTTATTACGAAAAATCAACACGTATTTATAGATTTTTATGTACATTATTGTAGGTCAATGTTAGTAGAAAATACAGTCTGTTGATTGGTTGTTTCTCACACAAAGGTAACCTTGCATCTCTTGTGGCTGTGTCAGTTCATCTATATGTTAACTGTAACCGCCTGTCCACCTTGACCTTTGACCTCAATTACTGTCAACCAATTTGGCCAGCAACCATCTCTCACCACAACATGACTAATATTTGATACATAAACATTGACCTCAATTACTGTCCACCACTTGGCTAGTAGACAGCCCTCACCACACTACCACTACTCTAACCTTTAAGAAGAGTACATATTTCCGCACATAAAAGTGGATGTCACTTAGTTTTGTCGATAGGCTCTATGACTGACTTAATCAGTCAAAGTTTTCATGATTGAAGAATAACTGATCTGTTCAGATATCAATTATAAATTAGATTTTGGTGTAGTTCTGCCCTTTTAGTTGAGTAGTTTACTGAGAATCCTAAAAGTTATTTCAAGGAAGTCCAGAAAGCATACTCAGTTAAGATGTTGTTCTCTTTTGTATACAAGTAAAATCCATTGTGTTACTAGCCATTGCTGATACCGAATGGTGCTAACAAATGTGAGGGTGTTCAGAAAACCTCACGAAATTAGAACGCCAATTTCATTTTACATATCTAAACAAAATGATGAAGAAGATTTGGTTGTTTAGTTTTGTTAGTATTCTTCTTATTAAATTTCCGCTTACAATAGCTAATCAGTGATGTCTAGTGTATGATGGCTACTGCATATGACATATTCTTACACAAATAAATGCATTCCAAATAGGTTATATCATAACACAGTATCTCATACAATATAAACAATTTTAGCTAATTATAATAATCTTTATTTATAATGATGGTCGTGCAACTTTAAATGGGGTGAGGAAAATTTACAACTCTAGTCAATATGCCTTGATGAAATGCTATGAACCCCTTGGAATTATAACTGCGTCATGCTACTGCATATCTTGCAATTTTAGAATGATTTTAATTATAGTTTACATGTCAAAGAAAGACATTCCAACCACTGGATTTTGCTCACATGAAATAAAATATGTAATTCAAGAAATAGTAACACCAGAAGGAGTTTATCTAAATGTACCTTTTGAAATTTCATTGCTGTGGACATAAATACTTTACTGTTTTTTCGGTGTACTTGAGTAGTTATTGATTCATGTTTGTCATGAACGAAGAGTTTGGTAATCTTCCCAACCACCTACTTCTCTTTTCAAAGAACGTAATGCTTTTGATGCTGAGAGCTTCCTGCTAGCCAAAATCGGTAGACAGCAATTCACGGCAATGTTTTCTCAATAAACGATCCGTTGCCTGGCCCTTGTCTTCTGTCGTTACATATTCATTAATTGTTTGAGTTCAAATGAAAAAGTCTCCTGTTATGCTGCGTTTCAAGTAGATGTCTTGAAAAAAGAAACTGGTTGTGCACGTCTCTTATGAAATAGTTTGGATGACAAAGTTATTCTCACTTTTCTAATTTTTATACTCATAGGATGTGAAAGAAGAATGTGCAATTCATTGTTCACTTGCTAACCAAAATATAAGCACGTCTAGTTTATCAATAAATGTCTGATATTTATTTATTCCTTATTAACAGGAAGTTTATCTTTAGCTGAAGTGAGCGGGTGATGTTGATTGTGATCTTAACCTTTATTTTATTTCATTCTTATATTAGTCGTCTACTAGATATTCCTGAGATAGTCTGCATTGTGTGTGTGGTGAGACTAGTATGTGTTATTAGTGAATGAGTTATACTATCAACAAGTAGTAATAATCGTTATCCCGAAAATAATGGATATTGTGAAATCTGAATATATATATATATATATATATATATACTGATTTCAGAAGATACAAAACGAATCACTACGGAAACCTTTTTGTTCAAATTTTTCATTAGATATCAAGTAAATTTGTTTCAAAATTATCTTTATTTGATGGTGATTGGTTGCGAGACTCTCTGAAATTGCCTCAGTTGTGCAACCAGGTTGATAAACATTGCCGTTGCATTTTTAATTTAGTCCACAGGGGGAGCACTACCGTTCGTACGTTGAGTGTAGAATAATTCTCATAAACGTTCGTGATTTCGTTTTCATTCGACACTGAAGCCATAGTCAATTTCACAATAATAGTATTATCACACCAGGCTAGTTGTATACCTCTTTTACTTGATTACCTTTCACTAGTATGACATTTCTGTTTATACCACCTTAATTTTCTAATTTTACTATCACTATCGTTATTTATCATTTCTCAAATTCGCATTCAGCTTATCCTATTCAATTGTTTATTTTCTTTTTAGTGTTCGTGCTTCCTCTTATGCTATTGAGTAAAATGCACTCTCTATTTTTTAATTATTTTGGCTGTTCAGTTCAGAAAAAATGAAAATATATGGCAAACCTGAAATCTGTTTCCTTTACAATGTTATCTTTCCATATAATATATAAGTTGTGAATGTTAAGAAAGCGGTCCAAAAAATTATTATTATTATAATGGTTCTATTCATATATGTAAGAAAACAAAATCCTTGCGACTCATAGGACTTGGACATAACAAAGGATATAAATTATCCTAAATTATGTCTAGTTCGCCAAGTGTATTGAAAGAAATGTTTGCAGTCAGTTAAACTCCCCAGGATCTTGTAGACCTTTTCATTCCATATGGAATCTTTTCTTTTCATAATTCCGTAGTTCCAAACTCGTGATCAATGAGACTTCTGCACATCCCACTGTTGCAAACCATTCGCTCACTGCGCTCCATTTAAATTCTTCATATCCCTTTAACACAAATACAAAAGAAAACAGACTTGAGAAGCAAACTGAACGATAACACGAAGTAATATAGATATATATTGATCAGAGACAGAATATGCCATCATAGATTTCACACTTTAAAACCTTTAGAAAACTCAAAAGATTTTTGTAGTGAAATTCTGTCAGGCAGATTAGTCAGAGTCAAAGATCCAAGAGAATGAGAGAACAAATTAACTTAAGTGGCTGTTCAGAGTAAAACAAGACGATTTAAGTGGAAAAACCAGGGTATTTTTAAAAGAGATGTTTGGTTTACTCTAAACTGTCATCACGAAAATTTTCCTATCCAGCAGGATTATGGGTATCCATCAAGATGTCTATCATTTAAGCTTAAAGGTTAGTAGTCAGTGTAAGGATGACGAGCTAGAGTTACAATCAGGTTTTAGGTACTTCTCCGAAACTAGGTGTTCCAAGTAGATTGTGAAGAACGTTCTTTAATGAAACCGAATCCGATTTTCTAATATTATACCATTCCTTCCATATGATCTGAGTTGTGCATGGGGTTTCACCGACACACAACATTGCATTGGGTTTTAGGTTTCTCATTTCTCTTCTGCACATAGGTTTGGAGTGTGACGTCACTCAGTGATCAACTCAGGGTATGTCCAATCCATCTTCATTTCCTTCTGCATATTCATTAGGCAAAAGTTCCTTGTCTGGCTGTATCCTCATTGCTCAAACTTTCCAACTGGCTATATCATATTCAGTACACAGCGAAGGGAAAGCTGTCAGTGAAAATTTGCGGCAGAATGTTGGAAATATCTTCGATGATGCACATGGAAATTCTCCAGACAGTACAGAAGCACTGACGTGACATTAGTGTTGAAAATTCCGACATTGTTATTCGTAATATGTGCTGTAGCTCTCCATACTGATTTCAGAATAATGAACCCCTGCCATGCTCTCCCTATACTGGATGATAGACATTTTCCTCCGTATTGCTCGTAGTTAAAACGGTTCAATCCAGATAAGACGGCTTAGTTTAAATTTCTTCTGTTGAAGGTGATTGGAAATTATTTTTGTTGGTTGGTATCTTCGTCACCTCTGTTTTCACTATGTTCACCCCTAGTTCTTTTTTATTACTCCGTCTGTCAGCTTGATGGTTTTTGTTTGTAAGCCGTTGAGTTTGTGTGACACGAAGCACAAATCATCTGCGAAATCTAGATATTCTATGAGCTTTGTGTCAGTCCAGCCTTCTCGTTCCCCATGTCCTGCCGCATGCTGCAGTCTACCACAGTCAGGAAAGAGACTGGTGACATTAGGTGAGCTTGTTTTACTCGTATCTTTACTTCGAACACTTCATTTAGCTGTCTGTTATGAATTAATTGGCATGCGCCATCATCACATAGCTTTTGAAGGACATTTGTAAACGCCTGAGTCACTGCACTTCGTCTCATTGGGGTGGTTATCAAATTACTTCACGGTTGCCACAATCGAAAGCCTTTTCAAAATGGTTGAGGTAAATAGGTGACTGGATTTCCAGACTATGTCTAATACTGGTACTTGGTATTGCTATTCGGAATTATATGATTTGTTTTAACTGAATTCAGTCTATATCTGACAGAATCTTCCATCTAGTGCATCCTTTGATCTCCATGATAAGGCGGCTAAATAGTTTGCTTGGGTGAACAAAAGCCACATCAGCCTTTACACTGAGGTAGGTTGCCTTTCTCTGACAGTTTGACAGAGTTATGTTTCTCTTAGTCATCACGTACCTTTCTTTACTCCCAGACTTTCTGTAGTAGTAGAGTCAGTAGATGGTCAGCTATGGCTTTCTAGTCTGTTTTCAGTGTATTATTACATACAAAAACTTTGACTGGCTATCTCTAGATCATTCGTAATCTCGTCCTCTCGGACCACTACATCAACCTGTACATATTACGTGACTTACCGGTTCATGTGGTTTTATATAGAAGAAGTCTTCAGCTTCTGGATATAGGAGACCAAGCTGATTGAAATATATGACTGTAATATCGAAAAGTTAGACGTTGTCAAAATTCGGTTAGCTAAACACATAACAATATACTACATTGAAGAAACGTCTTTTTATTTGAAATATCAACATAGTCAAATGATAAAATAAGAATTCTAGAAATGAACATTTTAGATTTGACCTGTTCTGTAACAAATAAAATTATCAAAGCTACAGTGTAAAACTGAATTTACAACTCAGGACTTCAAGCAACTTTTGTTGGTACTCTGTCTGTTTAATCTACTCTCATTAACAAAAACGCCATAGGTCAACTTAACACCAAATCACTAACATTATTTAATAACGTATTTGTCCTGCAGTAATAACACTAACTTTAAACAGTTCAGTCTGTGAACTAGCACCAAAACACTTTGGAGTCATCAATGAACTTTTGAGAAGCAATAAATTTTTGAAAAGAAGTCAGATCATTAAAAGTATACTAATTATGATTCGCAGTTAGCAGAATTGCAATATCCTGCTGAAATGAGAATGTCTATGAGTTCCTGGTTATTATACATAACTTGTTTGCACTACTATAATTTTGCTTTGCAAAAGACATTATCTGATGACTGGTGAAATTGATTTGTATAAAAATTAAAGTTAAAATACTCACTTCGTGTGTGACTTACAAAAATGTGCCCCAAGAATTATCTGAATCCAAACAACTAATCTAGCCAAGCAAAACCATATCCATGGACGGAAAGAATATGAAACAAGCAGAGCACTCAGTGGGATTGAAACCAGGTGACAACAGATATTCAATACTGATAAGTAATAATGTGTTTCATTATTAGTTTTCGTCTGTAAAAACAAGTGGTGTTAGAGTGTTATTGTATCATTCAAAAACTAAGCTACAATATCTTGCGTAGCACACACTCAATGACAATGAATAAAATGTTAATGCATGAATGATTATTTAACAGGAAGCCAAAATGATCCTGAAATCACTGTGATTGTAGCGATCACCCTAGAGAGAACCCTAGCTTCACACATATTATTATTAATTCGATGAAGTTATATGTTATTCATTCCAAAATTTATTTGAAAGTTACAGAACAATGAAATCGTTGTCACTCAAGTAAATTTGTGTTTCATGAAAATTTTGTTCATTTGAGTAGCACCAGCTCTCTAATGATGTGTCAAGTGAATCATATATCTGAAACACATATAACAGAAATAACAGCTGACCATCAATAAAAGGCATTCAGAACACAATGAGTAATGTAGCTTCCGATTTTGGCTCTGTAAAAGCTACTGAACTTAACGTTCAAGCTTCTCCTATTGCTGGAATTTCTACTCTGTAGGAGAGGGATTCTAGGATACATGTTTTGTGTTTATGTACGGTAACTAATGAACTGAAAGTAAGAGTGATATAAGTTATTGTAACAAATGCACACATAGTTTTAGCAATAGAAAATTTCAAAGTGCAGCAGTATTATTTTACCTGCTTGTGATTTTAATCATTTAAGGTTTTCTGAAGTTAAAAATTTTAAATTCAAAGATCCGGACACGACTTCTGGTAATCTAGTGATACATAATTGGCGAAAGCGATAAACCCTAATTTCACTGTTTTCATTATCAAGTGATGAATTTCTTTTTTTAGTTAACTTGTTCACTTGAAAGCACTTGAATAAGCGTTCTTACAAAGAAAACAGTCGTGTGGCCAACTATCTCTAGATTTCTAAACTCGAACTCATTTTTATCGATATTGATATGAATGACTGGTTCTGATCGGATCATTTATAGGTACACTTAGTTGAACGTAAAGACACTTGTTCACTCTTTCGACGAACTACTGGTCCCATCACGTCACACTTTTTATCCATAAGTGAATATTATGAGGCTTCTTAAAATATAATATCATATTTTACTAATTTTTATTGTACATAAAGTGAGTTCCACTTACATCAAATATGGACAATGCCACGATGGATATGCTTGATATTGTGAAAGTTATTGGTACGATGATGCATAGTAGTCTACTAACCGTTGACCAAGCATTTCTCTCCACAAGTCTTCTTCTCATCATTAAGTACCAAAACCATTGACTTATAATAGCTAAAGTGAAAATGTATTCTATTTGTATGAGCGAGTAATTATCATCATTTAAGTATTAGGAACCAAAAAGGAAAATTATAATTTGTCTGTGATTATTTGGTTGGATGGATGTCTCCAAAGGGTTAACTCAGTATGAGGATGTTCTGGAGACAGACACAATGAATAGTGAAAAATGAATCCTAGTCGCACTGAAGGTTTAAGATATAAGTTATTAAATGTAAGAATATTGTATGAAATGTGTGGAATCTGTCATGGAATAATAATTCCCTGATCTCAATTCCTTAAAGAACAAAAGTCAATATCGATGAAGTCCGCCAACCTAGATCGGTGCACCTTGAACTTTAAAGCCTCTTCACGGAAAATATTTAAGACTGATGAAACCAGTTGAGTTATCGCATGCAGCTACATAAATCACCATCATCTCTACTAATATATCATCTAAGAGAGTGTTCATTGAAACGCTGATCCAAATAGAAGATGTGACTCCAAGTGAAATACTTTCACAATCTTGTTTCCCACTTATCTTTTCCATTCACCTGCGTGTTTTACAACTAGTGGCGACGCAGTCAAGTATGAGTTAATTTGCAAATAAATCAGCTAATCACTGTTGACGTGTTTAAGTAATAATACGTATGAGACAAAATAATTGTACATCACTATCAGTAGAGTTGTTTCACTTCGTATCAAGTAGTTTACATTTGCATCAACAAATGTAAACACTTTCCATCCAGCTGAAAAGATTCCCTTCAGAGATAAGAATTGTGCACTGATTTATCTAGGTCAGTTGATATATTTTTAATTAAGAATTATTTTTTTAATAAATCCATCTTGAACACATTGTTGCAAACATTAATGTAAACCGCATAATTAGAAGGTTATATTTTTCTTCTAGGTTAACTAGATAGGTATGTGTCCAACTCATTTATTGATTACTTACATAGACAATACAATTTAACATTTTATTTACTTCTTAGCATATTTGAGCATTGCAGCTTTTGATAACTTTGTGAACTACGTGATTACGTACTTTTGTCCGATGGCCCCATCGTTAAAATTCACTGAAGAATGCCAAGTTCACTGGCGAACGACATAATATTGTCTCACCATTATCCGTCATGTCTCAAAATGTTATGTCCATATATCTGTCTATCAATAATTAAAATTTTTGTACCAAGTCAATCCACCTCATTCCGATCTATCGTAATTAATTTAACGAAGTCTCCTAAAACTATTAAACTAAGTATTTTGAGTCCCAGTAATAGACAACACAGATATAGTTTATCAATAAAGTGTATATTCTACATAAAAGTTTAGTGTGCTTACTTAGTACTCCATATACTCCTGATGAATACATAAAAATATATTTTTCCGGTGGATATATACCAAGAGCGCTAAATAAAAGAAAAAGGACCTTTTAGTCTAAAGACATTTTATATACAATGGAAGTGTGTTATCACTTGTGAAACATACCTCATTCTATGGTACTCTGCACCCAATGTATGTTATTATGCATATGTATATAAACATGTTTCATAGAATGAAAAACTGAACTGGCTATTTGTATTTTTCTTAAAGACGTTTTTAAACAATTAAACAGAAATGCTCATATTCAAAGTGACAAAATTACATGTGAGTGCAGAGAAGCCAGAAGAATACTCTTGATTGTAAGTCAGTTGTCCATTCATCATCACTGCTTCACAGGGATACGGGTAGTAATTTCAAAGCAAATGTTATTCTTCTGAAACTTACAAGTATGGTTTAATTGGTGAATATTAGACGGAAAGACATTTCGGGTCATTTCCATCTAACCGATCTTAAAAGATAATATCTTATTTCTGTTTGTACAGCCAATGTATGACATACACTAGAAAATGCTTATTCTGTTCCAGCCTCAGAATGAAATATATTTGCTTAGTTAAACAAAGATGTTGTGAATTTGTGGTATTCATTTTTTATCTGACAAGCAACAAAACTATCGTTTTAACAGTGTGAAACTCACACTACATTATGGTTTATAGATATTGCGCCTAGTATGTCATTCTTTCTGCTGTTAAAACTATTCGTCAAACTAGCAGATCAGCTTTATGATAAAGAGATACTGTCCCTAACTGCTTCACAAAATCTATGCAACAGTCAGTGTGTTGCTTCTCTCGTCTAGTTTAAATAGACATAAATTAGAATTAGAATGCCTGGTTAAACAAGAAACGTAGCGAAAATAAATAAACAGTCATGTACTAGTCATTTACACACTATACTGACAAAATGTATGTTGACTGAATTAGAATCACAACCTGATTAGAGGGTGAGTCCCTAGGTGAGTACTAGTAACACTGTTGGGCAGTTATCTTGAAGCAATATAAATTATTTAAAATAATCCTACCGTGTTTCAATTTTTTCTTAAAACCTGGGATTATTTCCAATAATATAGAATGATTCAATCTGATTTTGCGCTCAAATTATTCTATTAAGTTCGTAACACCTACGGTCGGGAAACTTATGATAGATTTTTCTTGAAGATTGGTTGTTTGACTTCTAAAGAAATTTATAATTTCAATTCAACTTCACTGGTTACTGTTTCTGTTCTCTTTTAACTAATGATGGATAGTTTTCTAGAATGAATGACAATCTTTAAATTTAAACTAATGTTATCTAGACCATCATTGGAACTGTTGATCAATAGTTACACCACGTGTAATGCTAATTACAGGGGAGCAAATTAACTTCCTAACATCACCTAGATTTCTAAGCAGTTACAAGCTCCGCAAAAGACAGTAGGTTGACAGTGAGTCTTGCTACGATAAACCACAAAATCAATACAGAAACTTCAAAAAACAAAATATGTCAAAAACTAACTCTCTGCAGGTGATGTGCAAGGAAACATTTACAGACATTCTAGGAAGAAAGATGAGGCAAGACAAGGAATGGCTCGTTATGAGTACGTGGATGCTAACTAGGTGAGGGAGAGATGGTGAAACAGAAAATGACTCAATGCAAATATAGACGACAGAAGGAGAGCTGAGTCCAAAGTACATCGCACTGAATAAAGGAGTGAAGAATGGTGCTTTGAAAGACGAAAGTCTATTGTACAACACACTGGCCGGCAAATGAAGCAGAACAGACAGCAGGTTAAGGAGACCTCAAAACATTATATCAGATAACCAAGTGTCTATCCGGGAAGACATCAATATAGATGAAACTTATAAAAGATGGTCAACGGAACCTAATTATCAAAGAGAACAATAGACTGACCACTTCAGAGGACACTTGAATAGATGGTCATCTACAAGTAAAGAGAAATACCACCAACAGCACTCACAGAAGTGTCAGTGGATACCAATCTTCCAATCAAAGCAGAAGTCTGGAAATCAATCGAGCTACCGAAGTCACAGCGGCAGATCACACGCAGTCACCTCTGAAATACTGAAAACGGACTCAGAGACTGCAACGGATATCCTCACTATTCCAAAAGTTTTGTAGGGAAGATAGGGTACCTACTGATTGGAAGAGAGTCCACCTTGTCAAGCTACCAAAGAAGGGCGACTTACGCCTCTGCAAGAACTGGCACGGAATCATGCTCTCCTCCACGCTGAGTGAAGCATTAAGTCACGTCATCTTGAAGAGATTAAGAGATGCACTGGATGCATAACTCTGCCAACCACAACAAGCTGGATTCAGGAAAGTCAAATCATTTGCTGATCAAATCGCAACTCTACGCATCATCATCGAGCAGGGCATAGAATAGCAGTCAACTCTCTACCTCAACTCCACTGACTCCGAAAACACCTTCGACAGCGTCGGCCGCGAGGCGATTTCGAAATCACTTCAACACTATGGCGTGTTGTGCCCAAATCTTCATCAAACTCATTCAACAGCTTGCTGCGTGACAATGCCACGTGTCAGGTGATCCACAATGGAAAACTCAGCAAAGCCTTTGAAGTGAATGTAGGAGTAAGACAAGGCTGCCCCCTGCTATCACCGATGATATTCCTAATTGTGGTGGACTGGATAACGCATCCGACTTTGGGTGAGGAGCGTTAAGACGGGAGTACGCTGGACCACCGATAAGAAGGCTTTAGAAGATCTGGATTTCGCGAGTGGATGATTTATGTATACTGTCACACAAACTTGAAGACTGTCAAGCGAAAGGCAACAAACTGTTAGAAGAGGTGGGCAGAAAAGACCGGAATGCAGGCGAATATAGAGGAGACGGAGGTGATGGAGATCGCCAGCCAAACCAGAGTAACAACAGCCAGCACCAATCACCATCAACAGGAAACGTTCGACAAAGGTTGCATGTCGAGCAAGCCAAAAAAGCATTTCCAACAGACTCCTATCAACACATGCTTTAAATGGCTCCATGGTAAAGATCAAATGACTGGACAGAAAGAATTAGCAAGAAAACATCCAGGAGGCTATCGCGCAAAAAATATGCCAAGGGAAATGTAGATGGTTCGGGAATACATTAAGGAAACAGTCGAATGATATCTCGCGCGAGGACGTCAACCGAATGGAACCCGAATGGGAAACAAAGAGTTGGTCGTCTGAGGGTGACATGGAAGAGATCGTGCAAGTTTGAGCAGATGAGACATTATGGGCGGTCTTGGATACAGCTGTAGAGGATGTCATAAGCGAAAATGTGAATGTGTTGTTGAGGCCATATGTTTCGTTCGGAACCCAAGGGAACAATAAGTTAAATTACAATAATCGTAATAGTATGCTTCTCATTCCTAATGTTTTTCAAGTAACCTATTTATTAGCTCTCAGAGATTTCCAGCATATTCCAGTGATACAGAGTCAAAATGTATGTAAGTTGTAAATGCATCCTATAAGAAAGCTTTCTTAGATGTAGTAGCACCTGTTCCCGAGTTAAACTGCTAATCTTCATCGGGATATCTCATAGACGTCAAATATCATATCGCAGTCATCTCACACTCGTTCATTCCATATCTTGGCCCACTTACTGAACGGAGTGTTTCTACAACAGTAAGAAATATGAGTGAAATAGATGTGGTATTGAGCTTATGTGAAGAGTTTAGAATACTCTTCAAGATGAAATCTCCACTAGAATTTTGAATTCTCAACCACTTGATAAAACAAAGCATTCAGAAAATAAAAGCGTCTAAATCATTGTATTTTTCACTGCATTGGCTTATCCTAACATCTAAGATGAATATTTACAAAATCCTGTTCATTCCATTATAATAATGGTTTTTGTATTTCCCAATGAATGAAAAACAAAACGATATTGTTTTTACTGAAGTTTCGCTATTTAGTGCTAATAGCTTTATCAAAGTATTATTAAACCGGAATTTACAAAATCTCAGCATGTATATAACAAAGAGTTAAGGGGTTATATACATGCTGAGATTTTGTAAATTCCGGTTTAATAATACTTTGATAAAGCTATTAGCACTAAATAGCGAAACTTCAGTAAAAACAATATCGTTTTGTTTTTCATTCATTGGGAAATACAAAAACCTTTATTATAATGAATATCAGATACCCAATGCCCAAATTTTTTCAAGCAGTTAAAAGTCTTGTTTTGATTTTCTTAACACGCAGGGATTAATTTAAATAATTTATAATGAGTTAAAAGTGAACTTGGTTTTGACATATATATCATCCTGTTCATTCCACTTCATTATATTCATTATTATGATGTGACAAACAGTCACCAATACTACTTGTAATTTTACTCCATATCATCGTTATTATTTTACAATCATTCTTATTGTCGTTATTTTCAACCTTGAACTTATGTCTAGATCGCCAGATCGTTGTCTCGCACACCCTGATTACACTCACTCTCAAAACTTGTTTTTTCTGTTGACTACATATATATATATATATATATATATATATATATGATTCTAATTTGCCTTTACTGGCTGACTATTGTATGCTTAAATTAATGGATTTATAATTGTAGAGCCTGTAGAAGAATTTATTGAAAACAATTGTTCGCTCTATCTACATACATACAAACATAAATATAATCTGTACTCACCTCACGTATGGAGCAACTGGTTGTACATGATCATATGAAATTGCGATGAAATACCTGAATTGAAAGGGGCAGATAAATATCTTGCAAATACTCACTTTATACTCACGCTAATTACCTTTAGATAGTAAGAAATATATTACCTTCAACGTGTCATTTGAAGATGTTTGTGATTTCGTGGTGTGATGCGTTTCGATTGGAAATAAATGTCATTGAATTAGGTCAACATCTTTAATCACTCAGTTAGCAGATCATGTAACATCAAATCACCCTTCATAATACACAATAATACTTTCAACTTGTATTTTCACTATATACTACCTTTCCTGTTTATCAAACTATCCCTGTGGAAATTCTTTGCCGACTTGGAAGACTACTGTAGAACACCTAATACTTATATGTTAGAAAGTAAATTCACTTATGTGTTGATTTATTGTTTGCACTAATTTCATTATTTCTACTTTGATTTATCGCAAATCAGCTTGTAATAAGCAAATATTTATCGGTTGAAAAAAAGGGATTCAACGAATTTTAGCTTGGTATTCGAAGTACTCATATACAGAAACAGCAATTCGTTGAATTGCTCATTACTACTTATAATTTCCTTTATGCTGTCGGTGACTTACATTTGGATGCTGTTATGGAAAAAAAGCATGCTGATTTGACAGAAATTTACCAAGTGTATCCACTAACGAAAACTCGAAAAATGAAACACCTTAATGAATACACAGGAGACAATGCAACCAAGTAAACAGCAGCCTTATTCAAAATCCATTTTTACTCACATTACTGGGCACAAAAACAAAGCGTGAATGGCAGCAAAAAGTGGTATACGAGATGGATGAAAATAAAGCCACTCCATTGGTAAAAGCTGTTGTACATTAAACTACTGGAAATTTCTGCATGCAATATAGCAAAAGAAGAGCAACAAATATTTTTTTATTAATGTCATTAAACATTTTTAGCGTTATAACTTGGCTTATAAACTTGTTGTCAGATTTCAGAAATCTTATTCAATTCTGACACCAGATATAAACTATCCTTATGAGACGACAATTATTGCAGCAGCGTAAAAAGAGGTTTTGTCTTTCAGAAATGCTGCGGAATTTTACCATTTCAGCTTTTGTGGTGAATTTGGAGCTCGAGAAGAGTCATTTGTAACCTAGATTAGTCCATCTGCTATTAAGAAATGTTTAGTGGCACACAAAACCTAGCACTTGCACAACAATTTGGATAGAAAAATGTCTCACTTTCATCCAGTCATTACCAACAAACGGCAATATGAAACACAGGCTCCTATCTTACTTTCAAAACCACTCTTACATTAATACAATGGAGCAAACACCTTACTTACAGGAAATCATCGCAAAGTGCAAGACTTCATTTCGAGTGATGTGGATGATTCCACAAACACAAACAAGGAAATATCATGCACAATCAAACCTTTCATATGCACTATACACCACGTGCGGTTTTCCCAGAAATCTTATCCAAAAATTCAATTAATAAAGATTGGTTGAACTAAGAACGCCCCTTCAATCCACTGTCAGTGCTAAACGATAGTAGAAAGACTTCATACACTATATTGTTACTCGAGGCTTTCTGAATAACATATTCCAAAGGCTGACAAGACTTTTGAGGGTGATAGCTATCAGTGTATGTTTCAAATGCTCAACCATGTTCGTGTAATTTCACATACTTCAAATGAAAATGAATGCAGCTACTTAGAGTAAACGTTATTAGTAATGACAGTTTGAAATCGTTGAATAATCAAAACCTTGATTAGTTCGTCTACAACATGAATGGCGCGTGGTCTGTTCCAACAGAACCAATTCGACTTTGCTTTTGAACGTCCTTCATAATGCGGCTACAGTTAATATTTTCCCGGCATTTCTGAATCCCTTTGACTGGCGGAGCCATCATCTTGTTGATGTATGTCAGCTTTATTTTGAATGAATGAATTCAACAGCCCAAAATAATTTTTGGTCAACATATTCAGTTCATGTTGCCGTATACATCTGGCATCTTATTTAAAATTAACACACATTAACATTTTGACAGTGGATGACATAAGAGATTCGCAAAGTGAAGTTTATCAATAATTGAAGAAAAATGTCATGGGAAATTCATTATTCGCTTGAAATAATTTATAAATTGCATGTATAAATTAGTTCTACTGAGGAAGGACCTTCTGAATTGAGTTTGCCCAAATTTTTACTTGTATAAGCAGTTTTCAATCAGTCTTATATATATATATATATATATATATATATATATATACCGTATGGATGTTGTCTCCATGATACCCCGTTATTTGCCCGTTCATATTTTGGAAATCAACAACTGTTCACGATGTGGAGATTTGCATTTAGTCTATCAGTTGACACTATATTTCTTTAGGTCAAACCATTATTATTATATTGCTTTTTTATGTACCAATTGACATGCTTTAGGAATACATTTCTTCTCCCTTGTTATGTGTTCTCTGTCGATCCGTGACCACTGCGGCCTTACAGGTCGCTCAGTTTAATGTGAAACAGGTAAATTAAGGAAAATGTAAAAGTGGAGACAGGCATGCTAAATTCCTCCAATCTGGACACATCTCTCGAACAACACATGAAAATTATGGAGTTGTTTATGCGCTCAGAAATCTCTAGTCTCGAACCATTCCAGGCCACTCTGGCTGTAATAACCCCTTCAGTAGATGCAATTTTTAATAAAATTACTCAATTCTTTTGTGATACCGATGCCATTTTTATGTCTGAGACATAGTTCAGGCGACATAACAACAATTTCAAAATAGATTTTTCAGGCCAAGATGAATTCTGAAAAGTGCGTCTCATACTTCTAAAACTGTGTCCATCTTGAATTGGCCAATATTGTAATATATGTCTGCTTCAAAACACACCCGACTGCACCCTTGACGTCACACTGCAGAAATTCGGACAACACTTTGGTGATCACTCCCAGCTCTTTAAATCCTGATGTCTTAAGCCACTCATGAAAGAGAATGACGAATTTCTCACGCATGTTCATATCATTAACCGTACATTTGATGATTCGAGTTGAAATCTATGTCAGACGATCAATTTATCAAACCACTGATACACATCTGTAGTCTATTTTCACCTAGATTTGCTAGCATCAGAATGAGGTTAATTAGTAGACATGAACAAGACTCGACCATAACACTGAATAACATCCATGCTGAGCATCAAGGACTGACACACCTCCAGCACGATACACTTTAGCACAATCCGGATGCTAGATACAAGGGCCAACTACGATGGCAAGTGCCTTCCAATAAAGTGACAACAAGCAGTGTTATCGCACTAGATATACTACTAGATGTATTAATAATACGCGGTGGGAGCTAGTGGTAACAAAGAACCACTATCCTGAATTTGATCAGCCAGGTGAAGGAATTCGAATATGGCCCTTCATGTTGAGCGCATCCCATTCCGAAAGGGAAAGGTGATATGGGGATCTATATTCAAATCAATCCATTATTACCATTATGTATTAGTTGACTTAAATGTCGTCGTGTGTTCTCTCTCAATTCATGATAACCATGAACTTACAAGTCATTCTATTTATTATTAAGCGCATAGCTAAAGAAAAATGTAAAAGTTTATTACGAACAGAAATGGCGTTTATTTCTGTCATAATCTGATTTCGTATGATAAACATGGTACATCATCGAAGATTTTAAGATTTTTGTTTGAAGCAGCTTTACAACTCATTCAATATTACGAAGTAAAAAACGTTTAGTACTATTGAATGATACATGCAACTACTATATATGGATAGATTCTTAAATGGGAGAGACACAATTTTCCGATTTCAAACATCAGGATATTAATCAAACCATCGAATAATACTAACGGACACTATTTTGAGTAATCAATATAATTCATATGTTTTCAGCTCACCTGGTTACTGACAGTTACAGTTCAATAGTCTAAATGATAAATATATTCCACCTTTTTAGTGAACCGACCGTATACACCTAGTCTAGAACTACAACAAAAGCGTTCATTTATACAATGGTGTAAAGATTTTAGGCCAATTATAAATAAATAATACTCAGTATTCAGCTGTATTACGTAGAGCATACTAAGGCATTCATTGATCAATAATTTATTATCACAAATGAATCATAAAATTTGACCAATAAAATCAGCTTTCAACAGAAAATGCACAAGTTAACCTACTTTTGCTTTTCTGCAGCGACATGCAATACGAAACAGGTTTCATAAGTAAATTTTTAAAGTATTTGTTGTTAAGAAATGAATGCTTTCTTGTATTTGGCTTTGGTAGTTACGTTGAAAACCAAGACGAGAGTGTTTGAGAAGTTTCCTGTGAATCAAATAATCTTCAAAAAATTACTCCTTAGGGTAGTTAAGAAGGTACTGTCGACAAGTCCAGAGGTGAATTGAGACAGTTGCCCCGTCAGTTTCTACGCTTCTTCTGTGTGATATCACCACATGACTGAATTAACCGCATGATCAGTCCAATTTCCACAAACTGAACGACTTTTTGTTCTGTTGGTAAAAGTTAAAACTCGAACAAATTTTGTTTGAACTCTTGCACTATAATTTTTTGCTTACCTGCCTTTAAAATGAAAATCTGTTCAGTGTTTAAGACTTTCCTTCTTTTTTGATCAGATATACCTTTGCTTCTTATTCCATGTACAAAGATCGAATTGTGCATATTAGGCGTGTTTGCTTTATTGATCACACAGGGATTCACCATATTTTAATGTAAAGCAGATAGATCAGTCCAGAATTTAACACTAAACTGAATGAGTTTGAGCGTCGGTGCGTCGGTGGCACAGTGGTTAGGACTCTCGCCGACCATACACATAGTCCAGGGTTCGATCCCCTGCCGGCGCACACCCGATATCTATGGTCGGCCTGTGAATTTGGGCTACCGATATCCATGCTGAAAATTCCATACTTGTACTGAAAATACGGTGTGGAATCAAGCTGTAATCAAAATAAATAAATAAATAAATAAATATTACACTACTCAGTTGAATGCATATTAAAAATGAAGGAGGTAAAGTGGTATTAAATCAAGCTAACGTTTGTATATAGAAAGATAAAAAATCTCATCAGATTTTGGAAAGAATATTCACCATTTCAAAGATGATTAAAAGAGAACAGAGTTATTCGAGTTTTATCAACTTCTATATGTCGCAGTAAGGCTCTCCATCAATTAGTTCATGCTTTCATTTGCGAAGCACACTGGAATTGTTTTAAACAGATTCTCAGTGATATAATTTGACTTGAAACTCATGTTATTCTAGGACATTCTCAACATCAGTGGTTTGAATAGTTATAAAATTAGTTCTTGATACCTAAATGATTCTCAGCATGCATTCCAATGCATTCATTAGAGTCCAAACCAAAAGTTAGAAAATGCATTTATTTGGCCTGTTTTACTCTGACTAACTGATTCACTGTTTTACAAACGTTTTTGTGTTTCCCAATAAATGAAAAACAGATCAATGTTGTTTTTTCTGTGTTTTTACTGTTAAAAGTGAACTTGGTTTAGGCATATGTAAATTAATGAAAAACCTGATTAATTTATCGAGAAAACACCCACCACACTCTACCCTTGCATATCAGATCTATAGAAACACTTCAGTTTTAGAAAATGTCATTACTTCTCGTCATGCAGCACCAGCAGAGACTCCATTCTTTCATACATCAAGTAAGATCCAGGTAGTTCAAAAGCATTTCGCTTACACCTTTTTCATGAAGCCGAAATTTAAACATTCCAAAATGAAAAACCTAAACACTTTATTAAGCCTCGTTTACTACCATGGCTGAAGTATGTTATATTTTTTTGACTGGATGTATATTAAACTCTGTCATCTTTCGTCTTTTTGTTTCTTCGTGACCCACTTTCAACTTTTTGTTCTCTCGTTTCCTTTCAGTTACTTCTAAATGACTATTCATTACCTAAGTAACTGGTCGTCATCTTTCTCGATTGTGTGAAATTATCTACTGCATTTCGCAGATTATTTATAATAGACTGGTTTATTTTTGTTGCTAACTGATAGTAACATCTGACCATTGCTGTGAATTAAAACTGCAAGTGTACACCCCTAAATAACTGTACAGCTTTGAAGAGAAGTTGCGAATAGCTATCTTCATGCTGATGCATGTGTCCTTAATCATTATCACACATGAATTGTTCATATCTTGAAAAAGAGCTTGTATTTGAAGAGCGTAAAACGCATATTAAGCATACTTAAACTCGTTTTCCATATTTTATTATTATTAACTGTATTATAATTTTGGTCTGGTTTTGACGCACAGACACTAAATCAGACAGATGTTTTCCAAGCAGAAAATTCAGGAAAAGCTTATGGAAAGGCATCTTCGATAGTCACATCCTCTGAACTTTTTTCATAGCTAGAGAGTCCAACAGCAGCAGTTAGTCTAAGGTGAATAATGTTACCTGTTGGTCTAAATATGTAGCGCAACTGTTTTTCATAATCTCACAGACTAAAGATTCAGCTGTTGTTCAGGCTTGAAGTCCCCCTGGTCCACTTAATTTCAAGCAGTTTTCAAACGACTAAGCTTCATTATTCTTGACAACAAGTTGTCCAGTTGGGAAGATAAACGACCGAAAAGAGTCTAGTGAAATTACCACCGGTCACTAAAAGCTATCTAGTACGCAGGTTATTCAAGTCAATATTGTAATCGATATTCCTAAATATGCATGAAAGTCAACCTTAGTCTTCTATTGTGTTGTTTTATCTCAGAAATGGAACAGCTTTTTCAGAATTGGAGACGATAGGATGATTTGAACCTACCTTCGATTCATCCAGGGTGCAAATATGTGCAGTTAAAACGTGTCTTCAGATAAGTCGAGTTGTTTTCTAAAGTGTTCTGCCCTACAATCAATAATATGTTTCATATAGCTTATGGAATCTTAAATAATAAATCTTTACAGTCTTGCTAAATGGCGAAAATGGTCACATTGAATGTATGTTTTGTTGAATCGACTTATTTGTAAATTACATATAACTTTGACGTTCAAATGCAAATATAGTCGTGCTGTCCATCCCTTCGTCTTCTCACTGATTCATACTGTCTACCTGCTCCGCTAGTACCCGTGTTTCATTCTTGGAAATCCGTAGGAACGTCCCATCTCCGTCCAAAGAATATTTGACAACCAGTAAACAACTTCTACCAGTGGACATGACCCAGCAGTGAAACATCCGTATATTATATTATTAATTTATAGCAGTGGACTTTAACTGTATTTCCAAGTAACCATTAAAGTGTATCACTCGTTATCTGTATTTCTATAACATACTGATAAAATATTCATTCATTAACTTCATTTTGTATTCTGATATTTCGCACCACTATCAAACTCATTGTTAAGCCCCCTACAAGCTACTACATCACATCATTTGATGATTTTCTACCTAACCATCACTTTGTAGTGTTTCCCATATATGAATGTAGGAAGCTGCTAAAAAATACTGAGTCTATGATTTCACCTCTTTCTATACCGAGATTTTCAAAGAAAACAACAGTTAAAAACTAATTATGGTTAATAAAATAATCTTAATTCGAGAGCTTGTTTGGTGACATAGTTTTACAGAACAGTTCATCTAGAAAATTAGGTCGGTCATTTATTGTTCGCTGAAATCAAATCTGGTTCTGACTGTTTTTCAAAAGCATTAATAAGTCTATTTATTCGAACTGGTCTTTTCATGTAATTAAAACCGATCGCAATAATTTATTCTATATTTAAATTTCAATAATATAAATGCTTCATTCAACAGACTTAGGTAACTCAGCTGTGCACAATCATATTATTATTACTCCCTGAGTTTTCAGGTGGGGCAAAGTGCTTCAAAAGAGCATCTCCATTCCACCCTATTATCTGCCGTCTCTTCTGCTTGCCTTCATTATTGTCTACAAGCCTGAACTTACTCCTCACACAATATCCCCATGTTACCCTCAGACGTTCAACCTGGCGTTTCCAATTTGCCTTCCACACGAGGGCCTGACGCTTAACATCTGAGACTCAGAGTGCATCTAAGTTAACGCCGAAAAGTGACTAGTTAGACGACCACCATTTGAGCGGTCATTTGGGCAGATATGAACTCTTTCTCTCTAACTTACGGGATTCTTGTGCAGCTTTAGGTAGTTACCAGAAGAGACATTAATTTCAGTTATCTGCATATTATTTATTTTGCATCCTGAAATGGAACTCTTAGGTCATTGACATGCTCATAATCCAATATTATCAGAAATATGTGCAAACTATTTAGGTCGAAAAACTTAGTGTGAATGACGACCTTGGGTTACAAAATCATTCATTTGGAAATTATAGGTGGAGAAAAATGCATGGACTTTGGGAACTGACAGTGAGAGTCGTGTAAGATCTCTAATTTTAATGTACCACACTGATTCTAATCTGCTGGGAGTAAGGTATTTGTTTAGAAGGGATGAAAACATTAGTGGGGTAGAATTATTTCTAACTTCAGTTGAAACACAGTTCAGAATAGAACGGTATTTTACAGTGAGGAAATTAGATCTGTACAATGTAATAATAATATCTTTGCAGGCACATACCAAATGTACAAGCATAGATAAATTATTATTTATATTACATAAATTTGGGTTATCATGGAGTTTCATTGCTACTGTGGCGGCCTAAAAACATATCAAACTATATGTTCACGAAAAAAAGAAGGAATTCAACCTTAAAACCTTGAACCGCGCGCAAGGAACGAATCGTTCGCCCTCTCTCCGGCTGCTCGCCCAGCACATCTGCTGACCAACGCTGTCTCGCACTGGTTGACACATCCCCGTCAAGAACTTTGCTCCTATCTAATTTACTCTACGTGGAGACTTCCGACGGTTGACAGCGCTAAGTTGTAGTGGAGAATTTGTATAATCAAGAGAAGGACAATTACATTCCTATAATTTCGTACGTCTATAATTTGTGTATTTTGTGACTGTTATAGTTTTCTTCAAATAACCTCAGTCCTTTTTGTGTATATTAACTTAAGTGAACTGAATATTTTATATAGACGTATTTGTTAGTACCTGTTCTGTCCTTTTAATTGCGTTTATATACTTACCTAGCTACTAGGTCCACTACACTTAATTGGTGAACCCGTTTTGGAACACGGATTGTTTTCACTTATCTATATACTTATTTTTGCTACTTTGTACTTTCATTGCAATTTTTTGTCGGTGGTCTCATATTTGTATTCCCCTTTGTACCAATATTCTCACACCTATAATGTCGTCACATACTCAGCCCGGTATATCAACTGAACAGAGATCTGGCAGCGAGGCACAGGCCACAATAAATACCATATCTGATTTTCGGCTACCACAATACGGCTTTGCAGAGCCACGAATTTGGTTTGGAGTTGTCGAGCCGTTGTTGGAAGCACGGGGTACTAAATCTCAGATAGCCAAATATGGCGTCGTGCTGGCAGAACTTCCCCCGTCAGTATTAACGGAAATCAGTGATTTCATCGAAAACCCCCCTACGGAAAACCAATATGAAAAACTTAAAGCTCTTCTTATACAACGGACCAGTTTGTCAGACGAGAAAAGGATCCAACAATTACGGCTGGACTTATCCGGCATGTTGGTTGAAATTTCGCTCGGCAAATTTTTTTTTGTCAATAATTTTCAATAAAATTTTGTTATATGTTTTCTGGATTGATAGGAATTCTCATTTCCTGGCAAGTTATGTTGGTGTTCGCGTCATTTAATCTGACTGCGACACACTTAGCATATTGGTTGTAATGATTAGTGTTTCATGCTGAATGCGTCAAAACATCTCTACAATGAAGAAGATGGGGTAGTTGGGGGGTAATGTCATCTACACAAATAGTTTATTT